AGACCCACAGCTGTTCCAGTACCAGACTCTAGTTTTTATGGACATGGCACTTTGTTGTCTGTTAATTTAGACAACGCACGCCTGCTCGCTGGGTCAGCACATTGCATCACCCTCTAACAATGACATTCCCATGAAATACCCCAGTTATTAAATCCATCATTGAAAAACGTTGCATTTTAAGCAGAATGGAAAAAGACAAGGTCAGAAAAGTTGCAATAGAGTAGGACTTCTGAGCCAAAACTTGCAGCTGGATTATACATATCTAAAGGCTTGCAATTTATTAAAATAAAAGTTATTGAAATGCTAGCAAAATGGGAAAGAAAATACTAGAAAATTATGAGGAGCCATTAAAGCCACTGTCTGTTGAGAATATGGATCTCAGACCACAGGAGAGGCCCTGGCACTAGAGTAAGAGAGACCTGGGTTCAGATCTTGACTTAGCCCCTTACAGGTGAACTTGAATTGGCCACTTGTCCTTGAGCCTTAGTTGCCTCATCTGTAAAATGGTAGCAATCTCTTGCAGGGGGTTTTTGTGGGGCTTAGAAACAATATATGTGGGAGTGCCCAGGAAGAGAGGTTTAATAGAAGAGAAGCAGAAACCAAACCCATCTCTTACACAAGCCTGAGGCAGGTGGTGTCACTTAATGAAAGTAGGAAAGGCTAGGGGAGGAGTGGGGAGGTGGGAGGGTTGATTTTCAGTTACTCAGTCAGTTCAGTTTTAGATGCTCAGTGATGTCTGATTCTTTGCAACACCATGGACTGCAGCACACCAGGCTTCCCTGTCCATCACTAATTTCAGCTGCTAATACACGTCTATTATTTGGGAAGCCCCTATGGGGAATTTGGAGCTGGTGCGGGGTGTGTTGGCAGATCCTTGTGTACATCCAGCAGTGTGTCCATGGAGATGAGAAGGTGCCCGCAACACACGTTGTGAGTGGGTGGAGATGAGGCCCTGGAGGCATGGATGGCCCTCCTCCATCCCTGAGTCTCTACAAAGGGACCTCGAGGTTGGTACGTACCAAGAGCTCCAAAACCTTGGAGAAGGGAAGGCAGAATAGTTGTTGCTGTGAAGTTTCTAGCTTCAAGAAATAAATTTACTTTAAAAGTAGAAAGCATAGTTTTCTTTTCTCAATCTGGTCCTGGGGATGGGTCATTTGCAATTCTCGTTTGGTTATCATAAACTGTTTATGAAGTCAGATCTTTTCTTCCCAAGACTCTTTTTTTTCTCTTAAAAAAAAAATAGCAATCTGAACTTTGGTTGGAGGAGCTGTAAAAAGTAACAGCAAGAGTGAGAGAGAGAGGAAAAAACTGCAGAAGGGCTCCCTGGAGGGCTGCAGGCTGCTGCTCAGTTTCAGTTGCAGTTGTCAGAGGTAAAGAAAACAGTGGAGAAAACGACTCATCGAGGGTCCCGGGCTGCTCTGCTCCAGGAAGTCAGCAGAGGGCTGGAGCGCAGCCAGAGGGCGGGCCGGGGCTCAGACACGGTGCCCGCGCCAGCCCTGAGCTCACTGGCGGCTCTAAGTCATCTTACAGGCAGAGCTGTTTCCAGATCAGATGTGTGGGGGTTGGGAGAGCTAGGAAGACTTCAAGGAAGGGAGGAGCGCGGGCTTATTTTTGAAGGTTTGCTCGGGGCTTTGGTGGCATGGATCATCTGTGAGTGCAGCTGACAGTGAGCTGGGTACCACAGCCCCTCGAAGGGAAGAGGTTCCATTGTCCTGGTCCTGGCCACTCAGGGGAAACTGAGGCAGGCAGAGGGCAGTGGCCCCATGCAGGTGTCACCGTCTAAAGCTTAGAGGCACAGCTCCCTCCCAGCTCCGTGTGAACTGGAAGACCTTGCTCCATCCACCTGCTCAACTGCTGAGAAATCCCCCAGAACAGCAAGGGTTGGTAGCCTGAGGCTGCCGCCCAGGCGCAAGGACTCTGCACCCCCACCCCCAGCAAATGCTCTCGGTGACTCATGGAGGAGAAGAAGACGCTGGTCCTGTCCCCAAGGGGAATCCTTCTTGTCCCTTCTGTGTCCATTCTGGGATCTAGATTGAGAAGCACCCCCAAGAGATCCAGTGGGTTGGAAATATGGAAACCTTGATCCAGGTAGGATCCACCTGAAACCTGAATCAGCAAAACTGTAGTGTGATTGAAGCCTGGTGATCCACGGCCCCTCTGTGTCCCCCCAACAACACCCGCTCCTGCCCCTCTAAGCTCCCACCTCAGGGATTGGTCATCTAATGTGTAGTCTCCACACCAGATACGTATTCTTGACTGTTAAGTCCACTCTCCTTAATTAAGGAAACACCTCTGACAGTGGATGAGGGAGACACACATACCCTGGAGGTCCAGGGATGTATCCTGTAGCATTCACTGCATCTCCAAGTTCACATGTATTTGAACACTCTGGTTTTGCCAATATGAAATGATCCATTTTTCAAATCTTTGGGCGAGATTGAAGATCCAGGAAAATATGACCTTTTTATCAGGTGGTTTTTATTCTAATTTAGAATATGCGTGTCTTTCAGGTCCCACTTGGAGTTTTAAAGATACTCTAATTGCCCCAAGGAGTGATTGCTGAGGCCTTTCCTGTGGGATGAAGGATGTCCCAGTTGGGATGTGTGTCTCAGCGCAAGCATCGTATTAATTACCTGGTTCCTGTTGTCTGCCTCTTCATTCATGGGGAGGTGGTCCCTCACCAGGTCCCTCCCAAAGGAAGCCCCTCGCCCCTCACACCTAGGGAGGGAGTTGGGTCCCTGGGGAGGTTGCAGTATTAATTTTCTTCTGTAGAAAAGGGACTGGGAAGAACGCGTTATGGGAAGTCCTGGCACTCGGCGATGCACCAGGCAATCTTGGTCTCCTCCGCCAGGCAGGGGAGCAACTGCCATGGTTGCCTCCTCCATGGCTATCACGGCATCCAGAATCCACCCCACAACAGGAAACACAGACCGACCTTGCCCAACTCAGGCTCCTCCAGCCTCGTTTCTAGAACCTTCTCTCGTCTGTCACCATGTTCCTGGGTGTCTGGTCCTGCGCGCCATGGACACTGTGTGTGTGTGATGAGGAGCCCACAGAAGTTTCTGCATGCTCTAATCCCTGGCCACTTGTTTCATGGCACCCCTGGTCTGTCCAGATACGGTGCTGTGCTGTGTTACATCCGGACCATCTCTACCCTCTCAGGGCTCTCACCAGCTGTGGCAAGCCTCACTTTCCTCTGATTTACTGCAAGAGGTTCCTCTGCATCTGGCATGTGTGCTCAGTCATGTCCAACTCTTTGTGAACCCATGGACTGTAGCCCGCCAGGCTCCTCTGCCCATAGGATTTTCCAGACAAGAATACTGGAGTGGGTTGCCATTTTCTTCTCCAAGGGCTCTTCCTGGTCCAGGGATCAAACTGGAGTCTCCTGCATTGGTGGGTGGATTCTTCACCACTGAGCTGCCAAGGAAGCCCATGCATTTGGCACCCAACCCAAGAGTCCTCACTAGCTAAAGATAGGTTAACTGAGGGTGCCTTCTTCCTGGTGGAGCTGTTAGCACATCAAAAGGATGCCTCACTCAGTAGTATGTGGGTGGTGAGAAGGGAGTAAGTAATGCTGTTTGTCACCTAGTCCAGTTTAATAAACCTTTTTTTTTATGCTAAGAGAATAAGAACTAAATCTCAATTTCAATACCAATAGCTGTGGCCTTGGCAGAGATTTCAGTACCTCGAACTTAGTCAATATGTGAAAATCAAGACACTAGAAAATCTTTCTGGAGACACACCCTCAAAATCAGTTATTTCCACAACATGTTTTAACAGCTCCAAGTTTTAAAAACCAACGACAAAACCATGCTTCCAAATCCCCACATAACCTTTGTCAACTGGGTTCAAAGATTATTTTCCTCATTTCCCTCATCCATGAGAGTTCTTACTGATGTTTCATAACCCACTTTAAATAGCACATACATGATTGTTATCAAATGTTATTTTTACTTTTCTCAAAAAGCATTTCCTAGCTTTATTGAGACACGGTTGACATCTAACATCGTATGTTCAAGGGGTACATACAGCATGTCGATTTGATCCACTTACGTCTTGGAAAATGATTACCATCACAGCATTAGCTAACACCTCCAGTTCATCAGATAATTGTCATTTCTATAAGACGTTATTTTTAAGTGACTGTATTCTTTGATAAATATACCAGCCGGTAATGATCCAGGATGTAGTAGCCCCACAAATGTAGCTTTAACAAGCCCGCCTTCTGCTGCTCCATCAACCTGGGATAGGTTTGGAGGAGGAAGGCGGGACCTGCAGAAAGAACCTGGATAATTTAGCATCTCCCTGTGGTTTGCTTGGGCTGCTGTGGCTAGGCGGGTGAGTTAAATTTTCCTTCTGTGTTAATGCTTTCTGTATGAGAAATGGGAACTAGAGAGAGCCAAAGAGCTATGAAAACTGCAGTGCACTCCCTCTGAGAGACCTCTGCATGCGTTTTTCCTGACATGTGATCTCACGGTGGGTCCAGTGGTCGGTGGACTGCATAGTCTCAGTGGATCAAGGCCTGGAGTGATGCACTGTGTTTGATGCCCATGAATTTTTTTTTTTAAGCTGACAGAACACACAAAAGCCATCATATGCATCACTGTATATGGACATACACACAGCATGTAACACTTAAAGAGGCAGTGTAACTCTGGGTGGGCAGCATCGGGAGATTGTGTCTCAGGTTCAGTTCTGAGACTTGGGCTAATCTTGCTTCCTTTCCCATTCCTACTCCTGTTGCCCTGAAGGGGTTTGAAGTGCTTTATAAAAGAGGAGACAAAACTCGTCAACCTATCAGGGTGGAGACAAGAGCTGATGGAGATGATGATGAGGGGCTCTCGCCACCGGTTGGTCCCCTTGACATTCTTCCCGAGTGTGTATTTCAGCTTTCATTGAACTTAATAACCTTCTTTTGCTTAAGGGGCGTTTTATACTGGTTGAATTACATTTCTCTCTCTCAGCAGTGTTAATGCATGTGTCACTTCTGGTTTTTGCAGGCAACCATGGTTCTGAGCTCTGCGCACTTCTGGCTGGGATTATTTCTGGTTCCCACCGCATGTCTGATCGAAGATGTGGCATGGAGAGCGTAAGTGAGAGATAAAGTGATACCCCAGGTCTTGTCCTGTGTCCTCTATTAGTCTTTAGCAAGCCCCTTCATAGGGTGTTAGATGCTGTGAGATTTCTGAAGTCACAGGTCTCCTGCCACCTGCCACAGCAGATATAAAGGATGTTGGCTTGTTTTGTTTTGTTTTCTTTTAACCTGTGCTTCACCTTGATAGGAGAATATAGTAGGAAAGGAGTCAGACTGTGTGAATGTCAAGAGAGGTGTTGCTTGTACAGGATTATAAGGGAGAATTTCTGAGTACAGATCCATTCCACCAGGGTTAAGAAGCGTAACTCAAAATTCATTGATTTTTTAAAAAAATTTAGCTGTGTCGGGTCTTAGTTGCCGCACACGAGAGCTTCATCGCATCATGTAGGATCTTTCTTTGTGTTGAATGAACTCTGCAGCTGTGATGTGAACTCCGTAGTTGCAGTGTGAGGACTCAGCTCCTCCAGGCATGTGGGATCTTAGTTCCCTGGCCAGGGATTGAACCAGCATCCCCTGTATTACAAGGCAGCTCTGTAACCACTGGATCACTAGACAAGCCCCTCAAAATTCATTGATTTTTATCAATGCTGAGTAATCACAAATATAGTCTGGCTTTAAACTCCATGCTTAAAGGGAAATTGTGTGTATATGTACGTCATTTCAAATCACCAGATGCTTAGAATCAAGTAGTCTCTGTTTTTCCAAATTACTCCCAGTAAGAATCCTTCAAATATAATTTTCCTGAAGTGTCAGTTTACAATTCTATGAGAAGATTAATCACAATGACAAAATTATCACATAGGTTCAATAGGAAATAACTTATGCTCAATTTTTGTTTGTGTTTCAAAATATATTATTTTCTAACTATCTTATTTACAATGTGAAAAAAAGCTACGAGGTTCCAAGATAAAATAAACTTTATTTCATCTGCAAGGAAAAGAAGGAATATTTCAAAAGAGATCAGGTTGATTTTTGAGGACAGGGTTAGACCTGATGACTTATAGTGTTGCCAACTTCCCTGAAAATCCAGGCTCCTGGATTGGTATTACTTTGGGCAAAGCATAATTACTTGGCATCTCTAAGGTAGAGAATTGAGACTTGATTCCAAACCTTCCAGGAGAAGACATCAGATTTCATTTTTCTCTCTCCCTTCCTCCCCCACTCAATGAGAACTGCTCCTACCTGACAGGTAGGAATGTATTTTGAAAAAAATCTTCATCTTGGCATTATCTTGACAACCAATGATCTGCAGAGAGAGAAGGTGGGAGAGAGGATTTTATAGCACATATTTTGGGTGTTTTCTTTTTTTCCTTCTCTTCACTAAGTTTTAAACTGTTAGTGAAAATTAAATAACTGTGATTTCTCAAAAATTTTGATTTATCACTACTTCCATTTTATCTGCTAAAACTGTGTTCTATAAATAGCAGAATTTGAATCCTTGGAAATCAAACTATGATACCCAAGAAAGATGTTTTCTTAATCTAATAAATGAACTGAAAGAAAATCTGAGTTCTATGACTTGTGCTAATAACACAGCCCAATTATGGCACGATACATTGCCTTGCCAAATTTCTTCAGTTTTGCAAGATCATCAAGTTAGTTTAGGTAAATAGAATGTGGTCTTGATTACATCAGATCACTTTTTAGTGTATAGTTTGAGACTAGTAACTTGATTATAGATTAATCTTGGTCTCTTTTAATTCAACTATCAAATTAATGTCATGAAAAAATTTTATTAGTACACAATTTTAAATTTGTTTTTAATTGAAGGATAATTGCTTTACAATATTGTATTGGTTTCTGCCATACATTTTTGCTGAGAGTGATATATTTACTAAGTGAGATGCTAGCAGGAGTATCTTTCTACCATTTCAAAAGAGAGTATTTGCAGATTGTAATATTTCTGCCACCTCCTCTGTTTTCTGGATCTTTTCTAATACATTCCAAGGAAGAGTTCTATGTCTGTGTGAAGCAAATTATCTATCCTCTCCAACGGGATTTTTTTTTTGGGGGGGGGGGTGCGGTTCCTGGCACTGTCAGATTAGCACTATTTATATTTTAACAAGGACACTGCTTCCAGCTCCTATTTGGAAAGGGAAGTCACTTCTTTCCAAGGCAGTTGCCAGCCAGGTAGGCGCAGGAAAGGCCCCTCTGAATTCCAGCCCCATCTCCTGAAATGCATTTTTGTCTCATTTAATTTGGATTGTATGGCATGTATAGCCTCTGACGCAGAGTGTTTGCCCAAAATATATGACCAGTAATACATAGTTAATGTCTAAACTATACTTATCCCTCTCCTCAAAAGCAAGAATTCGGCAAGTTTCTTTGGACATTTTGTTTCTGATAAAGGAGTCCATCTTTTATCTCCTATTATACTCCCAGCCTGAAATATTTATTGTTGAGTCAAGTAAATTCGGGGGCTTTCCTGATATCTCAGCTGGTAAAGAATCCGCCTGCAATGCGGGAGGCCTGGGTTCAATCCCTGGGTTGAGAAGATCCCCTGGAGAAGGGAAAGGCTGCCCACTCCAGGATTCTGGCCTGGAGAATTCCATGGACTGTACAGTCCATGGGATCACAAAGAGTTAGACATGACTGAGTGATTTTCACTTCACTTCACTTCAAGTAAATTCAGAGGCTTCTCCCAGGGAAAGTGTATTATGAGTTGCGTACCTCTAATGAGGCCATGATACTTACCTGTCATTTCTCTTTCTTCAGCTTTACAAAGCTGTCCTGTTTTTCCTTCCTACACAATGAACAAAAATATTAATCCCAATTGTCCAGAAAATTGCTCGTCATTTGGTTCAGACTGTAGAATGTTTCTTGTCACATGATGTGCCAGGATGCACCCCGGACTCTGGAGAAGAGAGCTTGTGTGACATGATAGGGAGTCAGGGGCAGCTGAATCAGCTTGAGGCAGTGTCTGGAACCTTCTGTAAATTTGCTGTGATTCTTTCATCTTGCCTTGGGTCAGTCTTAAGACCTTTTCGTTTTATTTTGAGATTTGGTGGTTAACTCTATTTTGAAAACACTTTTAAATTCCAGCGCAAAGCAGTCCTGCCTTTTCACATACAGGGAGTCCCTTACATACAAACGAGTTCCATTCCAAGAGTGTGTTTGCTAAATCCAATTTGTTCATACGTCCAACAAACTTAGCCTAGGTACCCAACTATAAATAACATAATCAGCTATATAGTATTGTAGTGATCTATAATACTCTTAACACAAGTAATACATAAAAAACAAAACAAAAAATAAAGCATTTTTAATCTTACAGTACAGTACCTCGTAGTACAATAGCAGGCACACAGGGGCTGGCATCGAGTGAACAGACAAGAAGAGTTATCGAGCAGCGGAGGGAGGGGAGGTGGGAGATGGGAGAGCTGAAGGGTTGTCAGCAGTAGGAGGCGGGCCAGCTGCAGTGTCCCTCACACCTGATGTGGATGGAGCAGGTGCTGGCTCCATGCTGGAACCAAATACACATTCTCATCTTTGAAAGTTCGCAACTTGATGGTTCGTATATAGGGGACTTAACTGTGCATTTCTGTGCACGCAGGTTGCTCTGTCTTCCTGCATTTTCCCTCTTTCTTCGCCCAGTCTCTCTCCCATTTTCAGGACCTGCACAGTTAAGAGTAAGGAAGAAAAAATAGCATGAGGCAATGTGGTGATTTTTTTCAGTGAAGTCTATCAAATTTCTGAATGAAAATCCATTATTAAACTATGTTAAGGCAGATTTGGACTTCGCAAAAAAACTTCTTCTGTTACTCTGTTAACCAGAATTTTCATGAGGGACTAAACTAACACATCTTTTATTAAAATAATTGATGATAGATGCTACCTGGCTAATGAATATTTTTATTAGATGCATGCAGTTTAAATTGTCCAGAACTACTTTAATATCCTTTAGCTCACGTGCTTCCAAAATGTTTGCCCATGACAACATTCTTAGGTAAGCTCCCATGTACTTATGCTCATAAAGCAACAATTCACTTACGTTGCTTTATAAAAATAATATAAAGCTCAAGGCCACAGAACTCAGGGACCCATCTCTTTTTATCTAACTGTATCTCCTATACCTTACCAGTCAGCACACAGTACATTCGGCAAGTCCAGAATGACTTCATTTCCTTATTATAATCCCCGATAGGCAGTTAAGTGGAAATAAAAGGTAATAAGAAATTTCTGTGTACAAGGGGGCCTTGATTTAAAAAAAAAAAAAAAGCATTCCAACTAGACTAATTTCTTTTGAGGCACATTCTATTTACATTTTCATCCACATTTAGAATCTAATGTTTCCTTCTGACTTGTTCTCCTTCCATAAGGAAAAAAAGGAAAAGGAGTCCAGGAAAAAAAATTCAGAAATAAGAAAATGAAAAGTTCAGGGTTTTAGGCCGACTTACTTATTTCAAAAATCTCTGATAACCTGGAGAATATCTTTCACTCTATCTGAAGGTTCAGTGTGGACTGCCACACACTCTTACAGGGTCTAAGCATCCCCACCTGCTCTTCTGTGCTCACCTGGCCTCTGGACATGGGGTTGGGGGAGGAGCCCTGGGAAACAGCCATCCACAGGTAATTGGGTTCACTCTGCCCAAGCTGTGATTCAGAACAAACCCAACCCCAGCTCATGGTGAGACCTGATTTCCTTGCCAGTGGTTAATACTTAGTGGCTGGCTTTTTGAAACTTAGAAGTATTAGATTTTAGTTGATGACAAATGTAGACTTTGGCAGGGGAGGTCTTAGAATCATTTCTCTAAGTAAGGCCTTATTAGGTAAAGATTCTTGAAGAAAAATATTTTTAGCTATTTTTATTTATTTATTTGACTGCACTGGGTCTTAGTTGCAGCACGTGGGATCTTCAGTCTTTGTTGTGGCATGTGGAATTTTTAGTTGCAGCAGGCAGGATCTGGGATTGCCTGGTGGCTTCTCTGGTGGTAAAGAATCCGCCTGCCAATGCAGGAGACTCAGGTTTGATCCCTGGTTCGGGAAGATGCCCTGGAATGGCAACCCACTCCAGTATTCTTGCCTGGAGAATTCCATGGACAGAGGATCCTGGTGGGCCACAGTCCATGGGGCCTCAAAAGAGTCAGACACAACTTAGGGACTAAACAGCAACCACAAATTCAGGATCTAGTTCCCTGACCAGAAATTGAACCCAGGGCCCCTGCATTGGGAGCTCAGAGTCTTAGCCTCTGGACCACCAGGACAGTCCCCAAAAACATGGTTTTAAATTTCTAGCATCAACTCTACTGAAGTGCTCCAGGCAGAAAGACTAGCCATGTTCTCATACTGGTTAATTTCCCAGGCTGACTCCCGGGAACTAGCTTTGTGGAAATACTACAAAATTGCTGAATAACTCTTGGCTATGAATACATTTCCATCTACTGGGGACGTAAACAAGGCCTAGTAGAATCAACATGCTTACTTCCTTCTTGAGCAATTTTATGAATGAGTGAAACTGGCGGCTTCAGTCCCATGGGTCAAAGTCTCTTTTCTCTTGGCCCAAGCTGTAGGTTTCTGGTGCTCTGCGCCCTATGGTCCAGCCTTCCTGTTTCAAGCCTACTTCTTCGTGTTTCCCTTCCCCTACCCCAACCCAGAGAGTAACACTGGGGGCTGGTCTAGAGGTTGATGAGCACTGCTTGCTCTGTGGGCAAGAAAGGAAGAAGGAAGGGAGGATGCTGGAGTGAAGACATTCCTGAAACAGTAAGGACAAGGCAGACACACTCCACAGGACCCGTGTATCTGGGGTGAATCCAAGTGGAGCGGGGCTGGCTGTTTACCCAGATGGCTGTTATCAATACAGCCCAGAAGCCCAGTTGAGATCAAAGGTGGACTTTGGGCCTGGCACATTCATTCATAGTGAACAGTGTCACGTTCTTTTTGTCTTCTTTCCAGCAGAAAGTTAAACATTTTCTCACTTCTTGTTTAAATGAAAATTCCCCTGTCTCTGCTTTGAACTGCAGTGTTTTAATCGCCCCTGAGTCTCAGGACACTGCTTGGTGTGGTTTAGGAATTATGTGTGAAAACTGTGTGGTTCAGTTCTTGTTTCCTGTGGGGAAATGAATGACCTACACTTACACAGAGCCTCCGCTCTGACTCTCCACCGGAAATGAACTTGGGGTGTCAGCAGACAACTGGGCGCTGTCTTCCCAGACTCCTTGAGGGTGGAAGGTGGATGGGAGCACGTGGTTCCGTGGAGCAGCTCAGGTCTCCAGAAGGTTCCACTGCATTGTGCCATGTCTTTGCAGACACACTCAATTTGGTTCTGATTCTGTCTCTGAGTCTGGGTGCTTGATGGGCAGCCCACATGCGCTTCTGCAGAAAAACTAGAAAAAGTTTTTCAGAAAAACACTGCCCTGTGCTGCTCTGCTAGAGTCTTTTGCTTTTTTACAGTTTCTCTTTTCTCATTTCTAACCTGTATCTCCATCAATGCCCTTTCTTCGCCTGTATAGCTTCCAACCAGCCATTCTGTTTAATCTCAATTTTAGGAATACCTTTGCAATCAGACACTTATTGAAACATTGTAAGGTGTCTCTTAGTTTAATCAGGAGAAGGTGCAGGTAACTCTTCGCAGGTCAGGGAGAGAGTTTGAGATTTACAGGCTGGAAAGGCCAGCCTGTTTTGCTACTGTTTGTTGTTTTACGCTGCTGAAGTCTGCAAGAGAAGAAAGAAAATCTGTGCCCGGATATTTGTGTTGACCCGAATTTCAGATCAAGGGTTTGGCATGACAACAGTGACCTCTGGCATCATAACTCCATCTCGCTGTGACTTTTTTTACCCTAAAAGGAAAGAGAAGACTGTTTCCCCCGGGCTCTTGACCTTACAGTTGGGGCACAGTCCAAAGAACCTGCATATGTCTACTTGGGTGAGGATTAGAACACCTTCTGGGTCTTTAGGTCCTGCAGTAGACAGCTTTTGAGGTAGACCTGTGACCCTGCAGGAACCCTGGGCTTCTGTCTGGACTTGGAGGGTATCAGCCCACTCTGCAGCCACAAGCAATGCTCTTAGGGGATCATTTGCTGACACCCATGGCCTGGGCCCATTCTGCAGGACTTGGGGTGCTTCCCAGGTTGCAGAGGTGGAGCCCTTGCCAGGCACAGGGCTGGCGCATGTTCCACGGTGTCCCTGAGCCCCAGCCCGGGTCAGAGGACATCAGAGAGGGCCCATGGGGGAGCAGCCTGTTGTCACGGCTGAGTTCACATGTCATGTCTTTCTTGTCTTTTCCTTGGACACAGGGCCAAGCACACCTGCAAGAAAACACTGCTGGAGGAGGTGCAGGAGCTGGAGACGAAGTCCAGAGTGATGGGCAGAGCAATGCTCCGGGACAGTAACGGAAAGAGGTGGGCAGCGCCAGGCCAGGGTCCCCAGGACCCCCTCTCCTTTTCCCTATCTCTCCTTCTGGGGTTTCCCTTCCTCCTCTTGGTTTTCAATGTGAGCACATGATGGATGAAACAGAAACCATGCCCTCTCAAGGGCAACATGAAATCTGACTTTCAGGTCCCTGGGCCTGCCCCCAGGTGAAACAGAGGCTTATATGGGGTCTGGACATGTAGAAAATAGAAAATAACATTGTGATCTTCAGGTGGAGAAGTGCTGTGTCAGCAATATTAGCAAAGCATGTTTAAAAGCCAGGCCTCTTGCTCTCAGCCCCAGTGATGTGCTAAAGGGTATCCGCCCTGAAGTTCTGCTCATCGAAGAATGCATTTTGTTCGTGTAGATTCTGTTCATTCCAAGTATACCCAGGTTTTGTTTTGTTTTTGATGAATTATTTTTTGTTCCTGGTGTTGAGACAGCATCATGTGACCTACTGGTTTGTCCAGCAAAGCAGGGGCTGTCCCCCCCACCCCCTTTATTTCTTATAGAGCCTCAGTGGCCCCTACTCCTCTCCTAACTGCTGGGCATGTGAGTAGGTTTGGTTTAGTTGTATGTGTTAAAATGTTATCAGATTGCACCTGGTTAAAATTTACCGAAGGAAACTGACCTGAGCCCAAGGACAATGTGCAGGTAATAGGAGGCCTTGGCCACCTTAGGGGCACGGAGGTCCAGGAGATTATGAGCACGGCTCCCCTCTAACTACTTGGAAGGGATCCTAGAACTAGCTACTCAAGAAACAAAAATCTAGAAGTGGAGTAATTCCAGAGACCCTCTGATATTTATGTTCTGTTTTATTTAGGTCCTGTCTTCTTGTACCATCTTTCAAAGCAATGAAATCAAAGCATTTTTGTTTTGTGTTGCTTTTAGGAAGGAGAATGCAAATATTTTGAGAAGTATCAGGAATATTATCTCAAATGGCTAGATATTTTAGGAAAGGGGCTGAAGAGTATAGGATTGAAGGCTCTGTGGTTGAAGTTGTGATTTTTTTGTGTATTTATGACATTTTTCCTGAGTGCATTAGCATTTATTTTATGGCAGCTGTGCTAGTCGTTGTAAGACTTTATCAGTCAGCTGGACAAAAATCTCTGTCTGAAGCCGTGACTGGTGGGGGCAGGACTGGGCTTTAAGGTGGTCTGTGTATAACTAATACACAGGCCACACAGCTGAGGGTGAGCAGGCCTCTTCTCCCCATTGGACAGCAGACACAGGGCTTGTGTCTAGGTTGTCAAGGACCCACAAAATTCTTTAATCTCCAAAAACAACATGTTCATAGCTTCTAAAAATAGGGAGATGCCTCTACAAATTGAAACTAATACATGGATGTCAGTCTTAATAACTGTCAAGCGAAATAAGCACTGTTTTATCCTATTTGCAAAAAATTTAACAGGCTCTTCTGTATCTCAAGAATTCTCCCATATATACACAGTGATTGCTAAGAGATCATGAGTCATTTCTGAGGACAATGAGACTTTCCAAGCAAAATTCTAAAGCTCTTCTCAAACATTGGACAGGAAAACATTGCAAGGAAGGCAGCATAAGACAACCCTTCACCAAGTCTGAGCTGACCTGGGCGGGATCTCCGGCCTGTGGGGTCCTCAGAACAAGCCTGGATGGGGAGTTAGAGGCACAGGGGACGTCTGGAAGAGGCGGCGATCCCAGGTAGCCTCTGGCTTGAGAAGTCGAGAGAGGCTGCCTACTGGAGACAGGATGGAAGACAGAGCTGTGAGGATGGGGATGCACAGAAAGGATGAGAGCCTGTGTGGCGGACGCTCGAGTCAGAGGGGATCACAGAGCTCTGAGCCTGTCTGAATCCTGGCTCAGCCATGACGAGCCCTGCAGTCTTGGGCGAGAGATTTCCTATAAGGAGACTGTCTTCATCTGTTAGAGATGGAGACTCATGGAGGGTGGGAGGTGTTAGAATTTATGAAACTAAGTTTATGATGAGTGACAGCACGCTGACCAGTGCTGTGATCAGTCGCTGAGTCCTGTCCGACTCTGTGACCCATGGGCTGTAGCCCACCAGGCTCCTCTGTCCATGGGATTCTCCAGGCAAGGATACTGGAGTGTGTTGCCGTTTCCTTCTCCAGGGGATCTTCCTGACCCAGGGATAAAACCTGAGTCTCTGGCCAGCAAAAGGTCAGGGGCTGGGCTTTGGTTTGTCAGGAAGGTCGTGATGTTGAAGGGTGTCTTGGGCTCTCAGCTTGTGGTTGGTTGCAAAAAAAAAGTAAATTAAAAAATACTTATTTTTTATGGAAGTATAGTTGATTTACAATGTGTATTAGTTTCAGGTGTATAGCAAAGTGATTCAGTTATACAGACATACATATACGTTTTCAGATTCAAAGAGAATGTAATTTCTAAAAGCACTTATCCTGTTCAAAGTTCACTTTCATATGTTCAGGTGGATCAAGAGATAACCGGAGTTTAAACGTGGTCTCTGCCTCCTGCATTTTGGAATCTCTTCCCTGAGCACGCTGTAAACTCCTTACCGGGACAGTCAATTAGCGGGTGGAGGGAGGGCGTGAACATGGGTGTGCAGGAGGAAACGTGGGGTCACAGCTTCCTTTCTCCCAGATCTGGCCTCACACTGGGGCTCCTGGAGAGGTTAGTTCAGGGACTCCAGGCCTCCCAGTGCCCCTCACTCCTTCCTCCTCCCCCCAGGGGCTCCCAGATTTCCTGGGTGGTCCATGGGCAGCCTGGAGAGGCAGCTGCTCTGGAGAGAGGACTCTGCTCTCCCAGTTGTTCGTCTACCACCTGCCTGGCTCCTTTCACTCCTGCTTGGACTCCCTGCCACTGAGGAGCTGCTGGGGGAGGTGCGGCCCGGGCCAGGGTGGGGGCGGCCCTGTCCCCGCATCTGAAGAGTCACAAACTGACTCCCTCTTTGAGAGTCCCTGAGTATTTTGTCTCTCCCCCCACATCCCCGTGCCTGCTTCCCCACCTCCTGTAATGTTTGAGTTCATCCACGCCTCTCTCTCCAGCTGTCAGTCTGGCACGTAAGGAAGCTCTGTAAATATTTGTTTTCTTTTAATTGAATTAATTTCCTTCTCTTTGGCTTCACTGAGACTTTGTTGCTACTTAGGTTTCTCTAGTTGCGGCCAATGGAGACTACTCTTCTTTGCGTTGTGCAGGCTTCTCATCACAGCGGCTTCTCTGGCAGAGCATGGGCTCTAGAGTGCACGCTCCGTAGTTGTGGTGCACAGGCTTAGCTGCTCCACAGCATGTGGGATCTTTCCACACCAGTGGATTTTTAACCACTGAGCCACCGGGGAAGACCCCGTAAATACTTGTTGACCAAGTGGAAATGCAGAAACCCAGCGAGGTGAGGAAGGTAAACCTGCAGCTTTCTTGCATCTGGTGCCAGGGCGATCGCTCCTATTGAAAGTGGCCCCCGAGGGTGCAGGCTGTCATTCAACCTCTAGTGACAGGGCCCTTTCATCTGGTGGCTTGAGAGAAGCGCAGACGGGGGTTCTGGTCCTCCCTGCTGCCCCAGCATCCAGGTATCCTGGCTCCATGGCCGAACCCTGCCCGTCACTGTCCCTCAGTTTAGCTCTGATGCCCGAAAGAGGGCCTCTCGAGCACAGCCTGCCAAGTCCTAAAAGCAGGTCCAAGTCACTGGCAAAGTCTAACGAACAGCCACATCTAGCCGTTTTTCTCAGGAATGTGTTCATAAGAAATAGTATCAAAATCTTTATGCATCAATTCCAAAACCCCTTTTGTGCCAAATGACCATTTTGAAATGGTACCTGGAGATTCCAAGTACCCCTCTGTGCCCCTAATTCATCCAGTGAAAATACCCAAACATTTTATTGATCTTATCTAAGCCCCCAGACTTTTGCGTGATTTTGGTAAACCTTAAAATTTCATGAAACGGTTTCTGCCTTTTCTCATGAGTGGAATCGGCTTCCAAAATTAACCTGTGTGATTTGGACATAAATCAGCCTGTTCTCATGATTTAGAGAAAAGAAACTGAGAAAGAGAATTAGGTGTCTAGAAAGTATAGTGAAGTAAGAAATGCCAAGGGGATGAGCAAAATGATTTTTCTTGATTTTCAGTTTGTTTCTTCTGGGTGGAGCACTTTTCTCACCAGGTAGTTTGTGTACAGTAGAGATGCTAAGAACTTACAGATACTTGGTTGTTCAGAACACCTCTTGCCAACCCATATTCCCAGTGTTCTTCACCAGAAGATAGCCCTACCGTTCTGCCTATGGAACAGTCTGTCATGCACACCGTTACTCTACATGGTCTTAAAAATGAGCTAAGTTGGAAGAATTCCTTGTTTCAATGTTTTGGTAATATCTTTCCCTCTTTATTCCTTTTTTTAAAAATTGAACTAGAGTTAACTTGCAATGTTGTGTTACTTTCTGCTTATAGCAAAGTGACTCAGTTATGCATTTATACATTCTTTTTCATACTGGTTTCCATTATGGTTTCTCTCAGGATGTTGAATGTAGTTCCCTTGCTGTACAGTAGGACCTTGCTGTTTATCCCTCCCTCTTTATTCCTAATGCATAACTCATGCATTTTTTTTTTTCTGCTGGAAGAAAATCTCCCAGTGGCCTTTACAAATATAGTTCAGACAAATGCCTAAAATATCATGTAAGGGGACAAGCTATTGTTTTCTCCCCTTTACATTGTTTTTCTTCCTTGGTGTGTAGTAGGGGGTGTCCTGGTGTTTTAGGTGTTTCATCAAAGCAAGAAGAAAGGCTGGGTGTGTTTGATGCAAACGCCTAGTTTCCCAGCTGTGCCTTAAGTCTGAAGGAGCAACAAGCAGGCCCCAGTCTTGTCCCAGACCTTTCTGCTCATCAGAGTTGGCAGGAGGCGGGTGGGGTGGACCCTATGCTGATCTTCTCCAGGTTCAAGGTCAAGAGTTCTGGTTGCTGCCCCTGCCTTGGGCCAGCCAGGTGGTGGAATTCTTTCATTTATGTGCTTTCCCCAAGCTCGCTGAGGCCTGGGTAGAGGAAGCCAT